CTGCTGGGATTTTTTAACAGTTTGAAATGAAGTGGCCACAACTTTAGTGACATCTACAGCACCACAAGCATGAGAAGAAAAAAGGATGTGTTGAGGGTGTAAACAGGCTGTGGGATGACACTGTTTTCATATTACTGTGTGAGTTTCTCCGTGTGGTCAGCTCACAGCAATGCCAGCCTGCAGGACAAACACACAGGATCTGGGGGATCTCAGGTGGACTCCCATACAACCAGGCCTGGCTCTGCTTAGCTCCTGAGCTCAGATGTGCTCAGTTGGCATTAACTGAAGATGCCAGAACAGCAGTTCTATGTTTTAGAAAACAGGATAGTGTACCGTCTCCCTTCTTGTAATTTCCTGTCTGTGTCGCATGTGTCTGTCTCTCAGTGCGTCTGAGTGGCAGAAGTTCAGTCCTGCAGGTTCAGATCCAGGGAAAATGGAGGACAGTCTGCTCAGAAGATTGGAACAACAGGCTGGGCAGAGCTGCCTGCAAGCAGCTTGGATACTCCAGGTTACACCAATGTTTCATTCATTTCTGCAGTGTCTAGTTGTCAGGCTGAGATGATACATTTCTTATTCGTGTCCTTTTTTTGTTTAGCACATTTTCTTGTTTTGGATGGACTTTTAAAAAGTGGACCACTGCTCCAAAGGTGGTGGACCAGTGGTCCATTTGACCAGAGTAAACTATCTCCAATTAAATTACAGTACAGTTACTGCAATAGACTGGGAAACTGTCTGGGATGTATTTTGTTTATTAACTTGTTGAAGATGGAACATCCATGAATACTGTAACATCTGAGATACTGATAATATAGTACTAGAGATACTATATGTCCAAAAATATGAAGAAAACTTATTCAGTTTGTGTCCAACGTCATCTGCAGCTTACATCACTTCAAAATAATGCTTGAAGGAAAGGATTGCTTACTTGGTTAAATGGCTGTTACCTTGAACCCTCCCTCCTTGTGTCCCTGCTCTGTTCACATCAGCGATTCTCTGTGACTGTGGTTCGATGTTTGGGCTTGTTATTATGCTGCAAAATGTGGGGCGATCGTGGTTCAAGAGTTGGGAGTTCGTCTTGTAATCGGAAGGTTGCCGGTTCGAGCCCCGGCTCGGACAGTCTCGGTCGTTGTGTCCTTGGGCAAGACACTTCACCCGTTGCCTACTGGTGGTGGTCAGAGGGCCCGGTGGCGCCGGTGTCCGGCAGCCTCGCCTCTGTCAGTGCGCCCCAGGGTGGCTGTGGCTACAACGTAGCTGCCATCACCAGTGTGTGAATGGGTGGATGACTGGATATGTAAAGTGCTTTGAGGTTCTTAGGGACTAGTAAAGCGCTATATAAATACAGGCCATTTACCATTCAAAATGAATTTGGGTAGTTTGGTTTATGCTGGCAGCAGAAGATAAATTATAGAGACTGCTGAACCAAAAATGTATTTAAAAATTAAAGTAAGAGTCAAGTCAGCTTTAATTGTATAGCACGTTTAAAAGACATTAAGTGTCATGAAACTAAACTCTTACTGCACATAAGAGAGTACAGTTAGTTTAGTTGGAGCTGAAAACAACTGTGTTTACAGGGCTTTGATCATTCCAACTACAGTAAGAATAGAAAAAATAGATGGTTTAGGTCACAGAGTAATTATGGTTTTGAAACAACAGTAACCGTTGGTTTAACAGAGACAATCTTGCAACGTGCATCACCTTCAGAGGAAAAGACAAACCCTGAAATGTATCTGTGCGAGCCGTAACAGATCCAAGACATGAAAGTCTCACAGGATGTCAGACTATGAAGGATACATATATGAAGATATATGAACATAACCCTGACCCTTTTGTTTTTCAGTTATTTAGAGTCTTTCTTCATCTCTCTGACCTACATTGAGAAGGACCTTCAGACTGACCTGATGTCTTTTCACTGGAACAAGTCACAGATAATCAAGCTTCAGAACGCCCCATCTATCAGGTGTACACACCTTTTGTCCTGTTTGAGTAAATGGAAAGTGTGTATTTGCCCCAAAGTGATAACACTGCTGTTGTCATCCAATTAGCCAATCAGAATTTAAAAAAAGAAAAAAAAGAAATTGCGCCTCAATATTAACCAGTCAAACAAAATACTCTCCAAAAACAGTCTGTTACACAGCAATGAGCGCTATAAAGATTTTCACGAAACTATGAAAACATTACAAATTCAAAAGAGACAAACTGTTACTGTATCAGCCACATCTGAACTCTATAGACGTACCCTGCATGAAAACATCAAAGACTTCTGATGACCACAGACTGCTACAGAACACTATTGAAATCAATTCTGCCAAAGTATTCACTCACCCAACCAAAGCAAATACTTTGGGTAAAACAGCGTGCAAACATACACTTCACGGGCTTTAGTATCAAGAACACTTTACTATACAGACCAGAGGAGCCAGACATCAAATTACAACCCACCAATTACCTCGTGATCTACAGCTGTCCAGTGGCTGAGCATTTAAAGAGAAGAAGTAGAAGAGGTCATATTAAAGCTTAGAGGGAACGAGATTAATAAAAGATCTTTTAGTCCAGTACACCATCAAAGTATTTTGAAGCTTTCGTTTTAAGGTATAAGAGTGTTTTAACTTGTTGTACGTGTTCAGTTCGGCTGAGCTTCCGTGTCATTTGACCTATGGTTTCTATTTCACCACAGTAAGACACAGTGCAGCTCAGGGCTGGTGACAACTCTAAAATGTCTAGGTGAGAAAGCATGCAGCATTTGTTTTATTGATGTTTTTATTATATAAGAAAGTTTTCCACACACTGTGCTTGTTCTGTGTTTTGTCATATTACAGCCTTATTTCAAAATGGATTAAATTAGCTTTTCACTTCCAAAATCTGCAAACAATACCCCATCATGACATAGAGAAAAAAGTGAAACATGCGTATTTAAGTATTCACAGTGTTTCCGCAATGCTTTGTTGAAGCACCTTGGACAGGATTTACAGTTTTACATCTTTTCAAGTATGATGCCACACCTATTTTCCTCTATTAATCAACCACAGACCAAGACAGACTTTAATTCATTTGAAAGCCTGATGCTTAGCCTCGCCCACCCCAGCTGTAAAACTCAGAAACCAGTCTTATTTGTTATCATCTATCGTCCACCTGGGCCTTACACAGAGTTTCTGTCTGATTTCTCAGACTTTTTATCTGATTTAGTTCTGAGCTCAGATAAAATAATTATTGTGGGTGATTTTAACATCCATGTAGATGCTAAAAATGACAGCCTCAACATGGCATTTAATCTGTTATTAGACTCAATTGGCTTCTCTCAAAATGTAAAAGAACCCACCCACCACTTTAATCACACTCTAGATCTTGTTTTAACAACATACGACTCTGGATACTGTAGCTCAAAGGCCTCTAATCAGAAGTACCTGACTCCGTGGTATAATTCTCAAACACGTACCCTAAAGCAGATGACTCGTAATCTGGAGAGGAAATGGCGTGTCACAAATTTAGAGGATCATCATTTAGCCTGGAGAAATAGTTTGCTGCTTTATAAGAAAGCCCTCCACAAAGCCAGAACATCTTACTATTCATCACTGATTGAAGAAAATAAGAACAACCCCAGGTTTCTCTTCAGCACTGTAGCCAGGCTGACAAACAGTCAGAGCTCTGCTGAGCCAACCATCCCTTTAACGTTAACTAGTAATGACTTCATGAACTTCTTCACAAATAAAATTTTAATCATTAGAGAAAAAATTACCAGTAATCATCCCACAGATGTAATATTATCTACAGCTACTCTTAGTACCATTGATGTTAAGTTAGACTCTTTTTCTCCAATTGATCTTTCTGAGTTAACTTCAATAATTACTTCCTCCAAGCCATCAACGTGTCTTTTAGACCCCATTCCTACAAAACTGCTCAAAGAAGTCCTGCCATTAATTAATGCTTCGATCTCTAATAATCAGCTATGTACCACAGGCCTTCAAGCTGGCTGTAGTTAAACCTTTACTCAAAAAGCATCTCTAGACCCAGCAGTCTTAGCTAATTATAGGCCAATCTCCAACTCTTTCAAGGATGTTTGATAAAACATCCTTGAAAGAGTAGTTGAGTAGTGGTGAAGAGCTGCAGTCCTTCTCTACAGAGCAACGCTCTTGGTCACCTCTATGACTAATGGTCTTCTACCCTTATTGATCAGATTGGCTGGTTGGCCAGCTGTAGGAAGAGTCATGGTCTTTCATTTATGAATGATGGTGGCTGCTGTGCTCTTTGTTGTGGAACATTTTCTTTACCCTCTCCCTGATCTATCCCTCAATACAATCCTGTGCATTTTATGTTTTTTATTTTCAATAAATTTGCAAGAATTTTGAGTTTATTGTATGTAGAAAGGCGTGAGGTGAAAACTTAAATTTAATCGATTTTAATCCTTCATTGCTTTTTTTGAAATAAAGCTATAAAATATATATATATAGAGCAAATATATATATCCCCTACAATTAGGAGAGAGGAACCTGTGTCACTCTCCTTTGAAAACTAGTCTAAACAAACTACTCTAGACAAAAACTATTTTGTCTAGATTTAGCTTTAAGAGCATAGCAAGCAGCCTTCCAGTGGCCCTTTTTATGACAAAAGTTACAGACTTTGTCCAGGTTGTACAAGTTGACCTCTGATCCACCTGACTGGTCAGAAACACTAACAGAATCAGCACTAGCTTCAACTGTAGTACCAGGGTTATGAGAATCGCCCAAAACACACTCATGAGCCACCATATAATCTTCTGCTAGAGCAGCAGCTTCAGTAGCAGTGTTTGCTTTTTAATTGTTGATGTGCAACTATAGCCTCAAGAATCCAAATTTTAAACTGATCCAAGACTATAACCCCGTAAGCCTAACCCAGCCTACAGGGTTTGATGTGAACAGATAAACTCAAGATTGTTTGTCCTCCTTTTTTTCCAAGTCCCAAATCGTTCCCTGTAAGCGTAGAGAAAGCTGCTTTTACAATATAATAACTTAGAATAAAGAACCTTGAACTTTGTCTTTCTAGTAAACTTCCAGTGCAAACTGTAGCATTAGTGTCAGCAGTATCGAGCCACTGTCATTGATGTGAAACATGTTCGAGCAAGGAGAAAAAAGTTTTCTGAATCATTTTCATTAAATTTTGACAACAGTGTCAGGTTGCACAAAATATAATACTTTTCAGTCCAATGGTAAAATAAAGAATACCGCAGCTCAACAAGATTTCAGTTTTCCACTTTTAATCAAATATAGCCTATATCTCTCCACAGCTTTCAAAACACATTCTCTTCATTGCTAACTGCTTCTCATTTTCTGCATTTTGTTTCCTTGCATCATGTTCTAGCAGTAATTTAAGCAACTCATTTTACTGCAACTCGTTCTGACACCTGGCAGAGAAGAACTAGGAACAGCTGAACCAAGTTCCCTTGTACATGAATCAAAACAGCCATTTCACTTAAATTTGCTTGGATACTTTAAACGTGTCCATAAACCTCTTGTCAAATCTCAGTCTCTTAATGATCTACTATTGATCATCACTATTAATGAGATAAAAGCCTTGATAAAGGAATCTATTTAGCCATATTTTTACAACACACGAGTCAGAGGCTCAATTGACCTCCTCTACATGTCATGCTAAAACCCAAACATTGCTGCTTCCAGGGTACAAACAAATCCAGAAGAGTACAAATCCCTTCTCATATACTGCCTGCTTATAAAGCATAACCTGATACTTAGCCTACTCTTCATGCAGTGTCAATGCCAGATTGGCTGTCTGTATCTGGAAGTCCCCCGGGATCTCAGCTTGGTCATTCTCAACCACCCTGGGGGGCGTATCCCATTTTCACTTCCAAGGGGCTTCCTAGCCATACTTGACACAGATGTCACTGTGTACTATTCTAGCCACTTGGTTATGGCGCTCCATGTATGCCCTGCCTGGTGTGGTAAACTCCAGCTCCTTTCAATCTTGTGCTTAGAGCTTGTTCCTGTGCTGCCATGATTATTGCCTCTGTCCTGTCTTTCAGTCCAGCTTTGTCCAGCCATTGTTAGGATTTCTCAATATTAGTTACTTCTTCTATCTGCCAGTACATGTTGTACAAGGGCACGTCCTTCTATAATGGTTTCTCTTCTCGCCCCTCTTCTTTCTTGGGTTTCTGCTGATGGAGAGTGGTTTAGACACACACTAGTCTTTGGCCTCCTTTCTTCTGCTTCTGCTGGACTTGGGGTGAAACCCTCGTGGCATGGTAAGGAGCTTTCTTGACCTGATGTCAGTGTCTTCTGTCTTCTCCTTTGACCAATCATTGTATCAGCAGGGTATCTGACAAACAGCAGGGCACAGGTGTTGGCCGGATCTTTTTCTTCCCATTCATCTGAGTCCTCAGGACTTAGCTTACTCTGCAGGTATTTGGTGGTTACAGCTTTCCTAGCAGCCTCTTCATGGTTCATATTTGCCTTTGGGATTCTGAGGTCCTTGATGTCTGTAATGTTGTCTTCTCCCACTCTTTGTTACCATCTGACTACACTTCTCCGGACCGGATGAAGTTTCGATGTCACTTCTGTTAGATCTTAGTGGTGTGGATCAGTGAACTGATGTCTCGTTCACTCCTGGCGAACAGATTGATGTCATCCATGTAGAGGGTATTTGCTCCATTCTGAATTCGGTATCTGTAGCCAGACTTGCTGATGATCTGGCTGGGGGGGTTTAGGCCTACACCGAACAGTTAACCTCTTGTGTTTTTCCGCCCATCTCCATTTTATTCTTGATGACGGCTCTTAGGGTCCTGTTAATCTTGTACAGTTCTAGATATTAGAGTATGAACCATGTGCCTATTCATGTTAGCCGCTATGATGCCAGGAGCATCCGTGTTGTGCTGAGGCAGATTTTTGGCCAGTAGTTGGATGGGACCAGTCCCTTTTGGAGATTCTTGAGGATCAGGACTATCTGGCCTGCAGCTGGTCATTCTGGGTGCATCAAATGCATTAGCAGCTGGTTAGTTTGTGCTGCCAGACACTCATTGAGTGCAGTTAACCTATTGAGCAAGTTGGAGAGCAGGCCCTGGTCCTGTCCAACTCTTCATGCTGTTTCTTGGATGTCTCCCATTGTGACTGTGACTGAAGCATGTTCAGGGTGGAGATTACCATGGTCTGCTCTTAGATCCACCACTGAGCATTATTGTTATGCAATCCTTCTCCCATATGCTCTTCCAGTAGTGCTGCACCTCCTGCCCTGGTGATGATGTTCTCAGACTGTTCCTCTGGCACTGAAAGAACATCTTGGATGGTTTAATGGAGAACATCTGGTTTATCCTTCTGACTTTTATCTCTCTATATCTGCCCAATTATTAAATCATTTATTGATAGGGACCTAGAAGAGAGAGACCTAATGTTTAATAAACCAAATTTAACTGTTTTGCTGCGATTTAAGCATTGTTTAAATGCTTAAATGTGATGCTTAAATTGGTATAAATGGTAGAAATTTGTTTTTTCAGCAGGCCAGGCATTCCAAAATCTGCTTCTTTCCCCCTTCTTTTAGGCTTTAAGCAGTGGAGTTGCTGCATGTTTCCGATCATACCTGCTGCATAATCAAGGCCTAAGGGCTTAAGATTCAGGGCCTAAACTGAAGGCGAGACCTTCTCCTTCAAGATTTTTTAGTACAGAGCAAGGTTTCATCAAAGTAGCAGTAGTAGTAGTGGCTTTTTTTTGGTCAGCAGTATTGAAGTCGTTACCCCACAAATGTAAGGTATTCCACATTACTCATCACTTTCATTGCTACTAATTACATTTACTAAAAGTAACATTTTCTTAAAAGTAATCCATTACATTCCTTAATTCTTCACTGGAAAAACAAATTCTTTACGCTACTTGTTGCATTAGTTTGTCGTTACTCTGTAAAATTACTAATTTACAAAACACGCATTATTTCAAGATGCAGTGGTCAGCACAGAAGAAAGTCCTGGGTTATGTAAGTGTGATTGGCTGTCTGTCTCTCTGTGTCAGCCCTGCAACTGCCTGGGCAGGGTAAGCCCCTCCTCCTGCCATATGGCAGCTGAGATGGGCTCCAGCATCCCCGTGACCCTGAAATGGATAAGCCCAGGAGACATTATATCAAATGTTTATTATTTATTTGGCTTATTAACCTCAACATACAACAATGCTGCAAAAAAAATAAATTTTCAAGTACAAAAATAAATACCAAACCAGTTTATAATCAGGTGCACGAAAAGATCCATTCACTGATTGTATGTACAATATGCATAAACTTACAGTGAAACAACACAGAAGATCAAACAACATAACATAAATTAAAATATGTAAAACTCAAAAAAAGCATCCATGTAACAATTTTAACAACTGAAGTGTATCACTTATTTCCTCACCTTTCCAGCTTGTTATCTTTGTAGTGCTATACTCTTTCTCTGTCTCAGCCCCCCCCCCCTTTTTATTTTGTGTGTGCTGAGTCTGTAACCCCTCCCCCTCCCTGCTCAGTGCATAGCAATGACTATTTGATGTCCTGTAGTCGACCAATCGCACACAACTTGAACAGAAAAAAAACAGAAAGGAAAAAAAGAAAAAACAAAAGCTCTAAAAGAAATTTCGTTCCCAGCCAACACACTGTCACTATAGGACAGTACTAACCTTCTGGTGGTGACACTATAACTGCTTGACACTTTGTTTCTCTGTGCCCTCAGATTGCGGTCTCAGGCCTCAGTACAGGACACGTATTGTTGGAGGTAACATCACGAAACAAGGCCAGTTCCCCTGGCAAGTTAGCCTCCATTTTAGGAATGAACACCTGTGTGGAGGCTCCATCATATCACCATACTGGGTCATCACTGCAGCACATTGCGTGTATGGGTGAGTCAATCAGATGTAGATATTTTACATTCTCTACAAGCATTAACATCTGGTTCTTCTTAATACTGACAACAAAGGCCTGTTTGTTGAGCGGGCATAAAAACACTATTCTGCTTATGTCTGTTAAGTCCTTGTTGTATCCAAGGGTTCTTCTCCTAATGCCTGGCAGCTCCAACTTTGCCTAATGTATCCACTATCCCTCTTCTGCACATGTCCAAACCACTTCAGGTTGTCACGGTCTGTGTGGCAGACCGTGGGGATGAGAGGAATGAGGACCCAAGATGCAGGACTTAATGATGAAGGCAGTGTGTTTATTTACAGTGGTGTAATAGTTCACAGAATAAATCCCCGTGTTTTCCCCTTGACTTCCGTGCCGTGTCTTCACCCACAAGTCCGTGCTCTTCCGCTCCTGTGTGCCTTCGCACCCCGTGCTCGCTGCTCTTGTCTTCCCTGCTCCTTGCTGGAGAAAATAACAAAGAGGCAACTTGTCAGGACACTCGACTCACCGGACTTAAAATTTATCGCCACTAACGTGGAGTCTCACACAACAATCCCACACCGAGGAGCACTCAGCCACAGTCTTAAGAAGCTCCCCAACGACGCTTCATTAGCTGCAGGTGTATGTGATCATCTACTTCAGGTGTGGCCATCCTCTAGACAGGACACGCCCACCAGGCCTACCTGAAAAGTCCTTTCAGAGAGGCGGGCTCTCGCTTCGGCCACTAAGAGAGTTGGAGATGGTTTTGATCTGACCTGTTAATGGAAAATTGTATTTAGTAGTCAGTATAATCTTTTAGTGATATAAGTTTGTATATGGTAGAATACTGCATGTAGTTATTTGTATTAGGAAATATTCAACCATGTATACTTAGAGGCATATAATTAATTGTGTGTGATCTTTAACAGGCTGCAAAGGCTTGGTGTGTATTCCACACTAGAATGCACAGGCTGCAAAGGCTTGGTGTGTATTCCACACTAGAATGCACACCCACATCCTGGGAGCACGAGAGAGGTCATACCTTCTCTTATTGTTTTATGGCAGGATTAACGTAGTTACGTCTGTTCTAGTCTAAGTGCTTTAACTGCTTGACTTCCTCACCAATGTTATCTAGGGTGAGGGAGGTCTACCCTCTTCCTGACCAAGGATGTGCCTTTTATGACCCTTTGATCAGCAGGACACACACACACACACACA